TTCTCAATCTGATATTGAGCACTTTTTTTCATAAATATAGCATACCCTAAAACTATATTTCTATCATATCATATATGTGGCCTGACGATTACATTTAGCATGAAACAGCCTGTCGCCTCTAACTGTTGACTTCAATGTTCACTTTTATATTTACACACACTCTATCTCTGATATTGAGCACTTTATCCCATAAATATAGCACACCTTAAGACTATATTTCTTCATACAGATATATATATATATATATCATAAATTATATAATGTAAAAATTTCAGATAGGCTGTATCTGTAAAAGGACAATATGAAAAAAGACAAAAGGAAAACATCTTTGCTGCCATGTTTCGTACACTGAGTACTTACATTTGCCTTGATAAAGCTCCTCAGAGCCCAAAATGCATCGGCTAAAATAAGTTTTTGTTTTGTTTTTGTTTTTATATATATATATATATATATATATATATATATATATATATATATATATATATATATATATATAAATATATAGGCGCAAACATACATAGATTCCTCTGTCTTTTCTATAAATATTTTATAGCAGTTGTTCTAGTAAGCTTTCCTCTTTGGTACCTCAATCACATGAATTTAAGTGTACTACTAGATTGGCAATTAGGTCTCATCATTTTATTGTTGAAATAGCTAGATGTAACTGTAAGTTCTATTCTAATAATTTCTTTTCTCACATATCTCGCCTGTTGAACACTTTCTGTTTCTTGCTTCCCTGTCAGCTATGAGCTTCAAAAATTTCACTGCAATGTCAATCACCATCTTCTGTCTTTCTTAATTCTGTTCTTTTATTGTCCTTTCTCCTCACTAGTTTTCTCATTCACTTTCACTCCCAGTAACCCCTCGCATCTTAGTGGCATTATTGCCTTGCTTGGGGCGAAATGATTTTTAAAAAATAAAGATAAAACATGCATTAAAATTTGTTGTAAATTACAGAAAAAGGAATTAGAAGATAGACTGTTTTTTTTTTTTTTTGTTTTTAAGATTTTGTATCACTGGCTTTATAAAATTGCAAAAACCTTCAGTTTTTAAGTTTGAAAACTTCCATTTTTGGTCTTATCTTGCATCCAAGAATGTAATTTCTTCTTTGCTGATTGCTTCCTTTATGTTGATGGTATTGATTCACTGTCAACATGCAAGTTCAGAACTAGAAGTTTCCCATTTCACCAAGACCTACTCCTGACATCCATTTCCTATCACCGTTTTGGCTTTGCAAGAGTTGGTTGGAGGTGAAAGAAAATCAGTGTAGAATAAAGTGTCAATGGCATGAATTTGTTTAAGATGGACCTCAACTTGCCAGGAAGTTGATCTACACACTTGATTTCATGACCTTCCAGTTTTTTCTAAAGTTTTCTCATTCTCTTTCACGCCCTTTGCATCTTAGTGGCATTCTAGCTTTGCTTGGGGTGAAATGATTATAAAAAAAAATTTTGTATATCGACACTGTTTTATTACCACCATCACTCACTGTGTGATATTTTTTTTTTTTTAAATGCACTCATAATAATTTTGTATTTCTTCAAAGTGAATTAACTCTTTATGTCATGCTTCTTGCCTATTCCAAATTTTCTTACACCAGCTTCTTCTCTCTGTGAATTGAAGTCACCCATCAAAATGGTGTAATTTATTCTTCATCTGTAATGTTACCAAAATAAATCATTTCAGTTTCCTTATCAGAACTTTTCAAAGTTGGTGCATATACTTGGATGATTTTCACTGTATCTTTTGAATAATTTGAATACGATTCAAGCTGCTCTGTCTGTTTCAAAATATTTTATACAGTCCGCATTGTTACAATTGACTAAAAATCCTCTTTGTAAATAGCATATTTTAGTATTAACTTTATGTGCTATTAAGAGCAGATCATTTTGTGAAAAGAAAAATTATTGTAAATAAATGTATGTACCCACTGACCTAACTCTTATTGGTAGAATAAAAAAGAAAGACACTAAGAAGCTAAAACAACACTGAAAACAACTTACAGCTATTTTTATTCAAATATACAATATAGGCAATCAAGGAAAGGTGACAGCATGCAAGTTACACCTCACAACATTCAAATTTAATGAAATGTCCATTTGAACTGCTGCAAAAACTAGATCTATTTGGAAAGATGTTAGAATATAACAGAACTTAGACTGAGAGCAAATCACCTTCATACGGATAGAAAATAAATTGAGTAGCTATACAGAAGTAGAAAGGGGCAGGAGACAAGGATGCGTCTTCTCCCCAGATTTTGTAAATAAATGTATGTACCGACTGACTTAACTACTAATGGTAGAATAAAAAAAAGAGAAAGACACTAAGAAGCTAAAAGAAAGTAAATAATGATATATTTAAAATTTATTTATTTGTAAATTAATTCAATTCTTTGTTTTTTGCAAATTCATCGACCACTTTGTTGTTGAATGTATCATCACCTCAACTTTCATTGTTTTCTAAAAGAAGCAGCAACTGATTCCATTGTTTTTTGGGGGGGGTTTTTTGGGTTTTTTTTTTTTTTTACTTTCTAATATTCTTGATCATTTTCTCTATGTGATGTATCCCTTCAGGATGTTGGTGATCATGGCCTCCACAATTTCCTGTGCTTTGTAGCTCTTAATAAATTTTTTTTGGGGGGGGGGGTATTTCTCCTAAACTTTGTTTCTCTATTCATTTCCTCAAGCTCACTAAGTATGTTATGCATTGTTTTCCTTTGTCCCTCTTGCCTTCAATCTGTCCCATGAGTATCAAATTTTCCAAGCCCTCTTTTCTCATTATGTGCCCTAGAAATTTCAACTGTCTCAATCACTTAGATTTAACCCCTAAGCCATATAAGAGGATGGATATCACATAGCAATCCAGCACTCTTTTGTTTGTTTTTAATGAAATTTTTCTGTTTCTCAGCACATTACTTAGCTTTTAGAAGGCATCTTTTGCTAGTCCAATGTGTGTTCAGATCTCATTGTCACCTTTCCCACCCTCTGTTAAAACATTTACCAGACATTTAAACTTCTGGACTTGCTTGATGTGGACATTTCCAATTTTCAACTTACATCTTGGGCTTTTTCTCTTGCCGAAGACCATACTTTCTGTCTTCTTGCAGCTGATGCTTAGTTTTTTTTTTCCTCACTTTTTTCTACCACCCTGTTCAGGGGGGCTGTGTAGTTTTCTTTCCAAGTCAGCCATTAACACAGTGTCAGTTTACATTAACTGAATTAAAATCGTTTTTGTTGTTCTATCTGTCGATAAAATTTAAATATTAGGAAGTTCAAAACTGTTTGTGCAGCCTTGTAGGTGATGAATTATTTTCCACCTTACAACCCCTCTCCAACAGATACAACATCACAAGCTTCTCCCTACTCTATCACTATTTCCTTGGCAAATGTTCTGAAATACTACATTCCCTAGTTCCACCAGTTCATGCCTTTACAGATAAGACTCACCATGCCTTGTACAATAGAATAAACCATCCTCACTCCCTTTGTATTCCATTGATAAGAAGGAAGTTCCATTCTTCCAAAGAACTGCTACTTTATGGGATAGACTCCCAAGAGGTTGCTTCCCTGAGCACTATATTCTTAACCTCTTCAAGTCTATGGTCAGCCATTACCTGTCCTATATATCCTCATCATCTGCACTTACTTCCTCCTCTTACATATGTATAAGAACCTCATTCACCTTCAGTGGCTGTTGGGCTTTGTAGTGTGTGAACATTAGGTGGAAAATGAGAAAAAAAATGTCAGAATTTGACTGACTTGCATGATTTCATTTTTTTTGAGGGGGGGGGGTAATGACCATTACCCTATCGGTTATATAGCACCATTTGTCATCAAATTATTTCTTGCAGTTTATACCTTTACTTATAAACACAAGTCTAAGATCCCAAAATGATTTTGTCAACTATTTACAGATTGTGTATGTGTGGGTGAATGTGTCCCATAATGTGTCCCATAATCTTTTCGAAGTTCATAGATGTACCACATTTACTGCACCCATAGTAGCAGTGGTGTGTCTAGGGAGAGATAGCCTGATGATAGAGCCCAGCCGTCATCAGGCTAGTTTTTGTTTTCCTTCTCCTAGATTGGTGGCCACCTTAAGGTAAGAGAACACAATCTACCCTGCTATTTAACCCATAGCTGGGGGAAAATGTATTGATGTCTTTTCCAAGGTTATTAGTGCAAAGTGAACAAAATGGAATCAAGTGGGAATTGAACTTAGCATACCTAATTCACCACCCACACCAATATCCATTACAGAAAAGGTTCACCTATCATCCAGTTGATATTCCTCCCCACTCTTTTGAACAGAAGTAGAAGTTTATCCCTTGTTTCCTGTTTAGGATTGGGTTTCTGGTTGCTTCTAAAGTCCTCTCATTCTCTTTCACTCACTTGGGGTGAATTAAAAAAAAATACCAGGACATCCTTAAAGATTATGATCATGTCATGATCCCATAATCCATTAGTCGTAGATGCAGCACATGTACTGTAGCAGTGGTGTTTCCTGGACAAGACAGCCAGACTAACCCCAACCCTCCCCAAGCTTATTTGAATTCAGAGTTTTCCTTCTCTTAGTCTGGTCACCACCCAAGGCTATAGGACCCAGTCTATCCTGTTATTCAACCCATAGCTGGAGGGTGAAAAGATGGATTCATACCTTTCCCAAGTGTATTAGTATGTAAGTGAATGTAATAAACTCTACTAGAATTCAAACTCAGCTCTCCAATTTCTTGATCTGAGCCACTATCCATAATTCCATAGTGCCTCCAAAGATTGTACTCTTTTTTTTTTTTTTTATAAAAACAATAGTTATTTTTACTAAACCTAATACATGATTGATATAATACAAAGCTTATCTCAGCATTCTTTATTCTCCTATATCAATACAGTCATTACATTTTTGTATGTGTAAATTCACCTATTAAAAGGTAAAAGTTAATTTGACAATCAATAAAGCTACACAACTACTGAACTGATTTTGTAAAAAATTTTTCTTTGCAGGCCTATTGAAGAAAAAGATATCATATCTCCACAGCAGGGTCGGGATATGGCCACTGAAATTGGTGCTGCCTATTATGAAGTAAGCATACTTACAGAATTTGGTATCGAGGATGTATTCCAAAATGCAATCCGTGCTGCCCTAACAGATCGACGCAAAGTCAGGTTTTGGGACAGCCAGCTACGTAAACTAAAGCCCCCAATGATCCAACCTCCTATGGAACTGCCACAACCCAGCTACCCCAAGGTGACAGTACCATCGGCTACTCTCCATGATGACCTCAGCTCTCTTCTTCATAACCAGACCGAGGGGGATGTTGTCTTCATTGTGCATGGTCGCTGTTTTTACGCCCACAAAATCTGCCTCATGGTTGCCTGCCCTGTATTTGAAGAGTTCTTCCTGATGGAAGTCAAGAGTCCGTCTTGTGAACAATCAATGCCAGACTTGCTCCCTGAGAGCAAAGACTCAGATGACAAAGACAAACTTTTGGACAGTGACCGCCTGATCACCGAGACACCCCCACTCACATGCTCAGCTTTTGAGAACGTCATGACAGATGAACAGTCAGAATGTGACATTGAAAACTTTGTTCCCAGTCATCCAGCATTTCACTCAGTTGAGATAAAAACAACCGGCAGTCTATTCCATCCGAATCAAAAATCAAAGCAGATTCTTGTTACAATGAACCCAGACATTACTCCCGCCGCCTTTCGGTACATTCTCGAGTACCTGTACACAGGGGGAGCTAAAGAAAATTATGATATCTTTGACGAGGTTAAAGCAGCTGCGGAATTGCTGCAACTTTCTGACCTAATTTTGAGCATCCGGAATTTTCTCTCTCGCGAAGAATACTTGAACCTGGAGTTGCAGCGTCGATTTAAGTCTGCCAGAATGGCACGTTTACGAGAACTAGCCTTAGAAAGAGGAATAGCTACAGGTAAGTCCAGGGCTCTTCTATGGCACCAAACCAACAGTTTTCAATCCAGTATTATGACTTGCTATCTTGCTGTAAATTTGCATCAGAAATGTAAATAGTTTGACTGTTGTTTCTTTTTGCTCTTTTTTTTAAAAGTAAAGTCCACTCTTTACAAGACCCGGGAGCCACTCGAGGTAGAGTTATATAGGCAGTTTGTATGGATAGGAAGGGGAAGATAATAATTAAACCTAGACTTGAGCAGTTTAAGATTGTAGTGATCAGGGAAGCATCCTCTTCGTAGTCTGTTCCACTGAGCAGTGGATCAGGGAAGAAGCCGTTCAAGTGGAACTGACTTCTCGCTGATTCTCGGTGGTTTGCTACAATTTGAGTGGCATGGCAGGTCCTTGCTGTGAAAAATAGACCTGGTGGAACCAAGGAATATAGTTCATCTGAGCACCTTCCATGAAATTAGCGAGAGGCCTGCCACATCCCACCTGTGAGAGAGAGTTGGAGGGTGGAATATAATTTGTCACTAACAAGGACTCTGTGACACTTTTTGACTCTATTAAAACTGGAGAGTGTGGTCTGGGCAGCTCTCGCCCAGATATGACAACAGTATTCCATTTTTGGTCTGATCTGGCTCTTGTAAATGTATAGCTGGGATGTGGAGTTAGGTACCATTTTTGCCACCATCTTTAGCTCATATAGCTCGTATGTATGAGTTCCACTTAAAAGGGGTGAGTTTAAGGCCTAATAATATCTCAAGACATGATGCATCTCTGAGGAAACATCTATTTATAATGACTGATGGTAGTTCAGTGTCTTATCAGCCATGGTGGAATCTAACTAGTTTGGTTTTCAAGGCATTGAATGTAACCAGCCAGTTCTTTAACATGATTTTAAAAAGCAAAGGACTTCAAAATCACTTAGGCTATGCTTCATAGGCTATAGTAACTCACTTCCTGTGGGGTATCATCTACCATTTTGTTCTTCTAAATTCTATACATTTATGCTGTCAGCAGGTTCAGAAAACCATTTCTGCTGAAAGAAACCTAGTGCAGTCTGACCCCTTTAATTCGGTACTCTGAGTTCAGACAACTGCCATGATCCAGTACTTTTTTTGAATCAGCCGCTATTAATGTGTTGAGCACTTCTACAAGAGCAGCACAACTTGTTGCTCACAACTTTCCGCTGCAGTAGTGTATTTTAGTGATTCTGTCTAGCTCATTTCTTATATATCACTGAATAATTATCTATTCAGGATATTAAGTATATACTATTTTTTGGTTTTCGATCTTTATTCTTCAGCTTTTGAATTACATGAAGCAATAAAAACTTTTCAGTCTTTAACTGTCATGCTTGCCTGAAAGAATGGTTTTTCCCTTGACATTGCAATGTTTATTGTTTTAAAAAAGCAATAATTCTAATTGTAATAAAACTTAAACATATGATGAAAGTGAATTTATGTATTTTTGTTGTCCTTGAGAATTTACAAAACTATTAAACACAATTTATTACATGTTGTAACCTAGTAAAGATTACTGAATAAGGAATAACCAAAACAGAGGTTGGAAATGAAATGGTAATCTTTATAACATCAACAAAATACAATATTCACCAGCAGTGTTAAGTAGGTAAACCATTACTAGTGATGGACTACTTAGACAGCATATTACCCCCACTTACAACAGTGTGCAACATATTTATGAAGATTGGGACATACCCATTAGCTATGGTATATAACAGTTTATTTACAAGGATAATTTTAAATCTGTCTATATTTCTGAGATAAGGTATTGTAATTATTTACCCTATTTCCATTGTTTGGACTGTTACCATATTCACAACATTTCAGCTGTAATATGCTCCAGCCTTCTTCGTGATTGGAATTTCGAACTGGACCCTTTATTTCGTCTACCAAGTTACAATGCCATTCCTCTTCTAGATGTCTCAGTATCAGTTATCTCCCTTTAACTCAACTCTCCATGTTTAGCCAGGTATCCAAGTATTGAACTCACAACTCTTTGGGCAAAGTCACTGGATTCAACAAACACTTTTATCCACTGGGTCATGTGTCCTTGAGTACATCTGTGTATGAATTTTTGGCAATTATAAAACTTTTTTTACTAGTCGGCATTTTCCTTGATTCATGGGCAATGGTGTCCAAGTATGGCATCCCATACCCAGCTGTAGTAAGAAATATAAAAAAGAAACAGGCCATCCCCTTAAAATAAGACTGCAGGAATACCATAAAGCTATAACATGAGGGTAACTAGAAAAATCTGGTGTAGTTGACTGCATATGGAGGGAAAAGGGAGATAACCACCTCCTATGGGATGAGGTTGAAATAGTAGACAAAGAACATCACTGGAAAATATGAAAACTTAAGAAATCAGTGCATTTGCTCGGCTACAAAAATCTCCTAAGCCAGCCAAGCATAGAAATGAATACAATATGAATATAAAAGTGATAGAGAAAAACAATAATAACAACAAAATTGCAATATGAACTCTGGTAAAATAGATTGTTTATAAGTGCCAAAAATTCATACACTGGTGTCCTCAAGGATATATGGCTCAGTGGATAAAAATATTGGTTGAATCCAGTGACTTCATCCAAAGAGTCATGAGTTCAATACCTGGCTAAACTTGGAGAGTTAAAGGGAGATAACTGATACTGAGACATCCATAAGGGATTTGAACTAGAACAATCTACCTCAGAAATATTGCAAGCCTATCACCACCCTATTGCTACCTCCACGGCAAATGTACTAACAAGCTATTCCTTTGTCCCACCAGTTCTGATATACACCATGCCACATACATTGAGACAATTCATTCTCATTCCTTTCATATTCCATTAGTAATAAAGAAGGTCCATTTAGAACAGTTTCTTCTTAAAAACAAACTCCCAAGAGGATGCTTTTCTGATCAATACAATCTTAACCTCTTCAAGTCTAGAGGTTAACCATTATCTCTTCTACATCACCTTATAAACTGCACTTCTTACATTCTTTTCTTACACACATACAACAACATCATTCACTAACCCTCTACTTTGAGTGGCTCTCAGTCCTTGTATTGAGTAAACATTAGTGTGTGTGTGTGTGTATATATATATATATATATATATTCTTTGTCACCGGTGTATAGTTTATAGCTCTGTTATGTTACATCAAGCACTATTTTATTAACACTCAATATTATATATTCATATGCAATATTCTGAATGTAATGAGAATGAAAATAATATATAAATTCTAACATACACAGCATTAATTAAAAAAAAACCTCAATACTGAAAGTAGAGCAATAATTATTTGTCAGAAACAAACAGAATTGTTCATAATCATTTTTAGTCTCACCAGTCGAGGTGCAACTAAATGCAACAAAACAAGGTTGCATCTTTGTAGTGAGTAAATTGTTTTTGTCTATATGAAAAAATTATAATATATATGTGTGTGTATGTATGTGTGTGTATATATATATATATATATATATATATATATATATACATATAAAGTACTTGAACAAAAATAGCAAAATATAAACTTTGGATCATTTATCCACAACTTTGAACACAATACTCATCTGAAAATTGAAAAAACATAAAAAAGAATTAAGCAAACAGTTCTTTTTTTAATCAAACTTGTTTTGGGTGTATACTTGCTACCTAAATATACCTTTTAATTATATATATATATATATATATATATATATATATATATATATATATATATATATATATATATTGTGTATTTGGACCCCTCTTTTATACAAGTTTCATTAAAATGACTGACAAAGTAAAGCAGTTTTTTTTATAGCTTTCGGCTGTACTTTTAACCTTTATCAAAGATGATTTTATTTTTACTTTTAATTGAATATATGGATTGTTTTATGTATGTATCTAGAGTTATAGGAAAGTTTTATTTTCCAAACACAGTCAGCACATTGGGCCATGTTCATAGTTGATATTATTGAGTGTTGGCTTTTTCTTTTTTATTAATAATGCTTCAATTATTTTTAGCCCTTTTTACATTTTTACATACATAAAATAATCCCTACATTCATCCACCTCTTTCTGAATCCTCTGCACTGTCATCAGATGGACATACAAACACTCTGAAATGTTTGTTTTGAAGCTTCTGGTGCAAATTCCAAGCAGTACAGCATGCTGTTTCTGAATTTCTGGCCGAGTGAATTGCATCATTGTGCTCTTTTTCTCACAGATGGTGCCAAACTGACCCTATTATACTGTACAGCAGAATCAAAAACAAACAACGTACAGGCACGAAAAAATAAAAAGTATGAAATTGCAACAATTTACCCATCGCACCATGTGTGTGTGTGTACATATATATATATATATATATATATATATATATATATATATATATATATATAAATATATATATATATAAAGTAATGGAGAGTGTATCTTATAAAATGAAATAACAAATAGTCAATGAGTGTATTTCTGGAGGATAATGCTTTTAAGGTAAGCATTCCTTTTGAGTAAAGTGTTCAATATTAAAAAAAAAAAATAGAGAATTAATAGTAAAGAAATAAAATGATTTAACTTATCTTCCTGACTTAGTTTCTCAGAAGTAGTATTCTGATCATTTGATAGTAAAATTTAATTTACCTACAGATGCACAACTATTTACTCCTGCCTAAATAGTAAGGTTGATCAGTGTGACATGGTCAAAATTACTGCGGATGTCCAAAATGACCTCAAGACTTAACTGGAGCAAAAGATGGCTTGTTAATTTCAAAGCCTCCAAAACTAAACTTTTCTCCATTAATCCTCTGAGAAATTCCTCTCTGCCTTTCATCAGTATGGCTGATGCTAACCTCCAAGAAAGTGACTCATTGCAACTTCTTCATCTCACATTCTCAGCTAACAGTGGAAAGACTATATTGAATCCATTGCTAGATCAGCTGCCAAGAAAGTTGGTTCATTGTGTCATTCAAAACAATTTTTCTCTCCAGAATCTATCTATCTATCAAAATTGTTTGTTT